GTTTTTTCAATTTATGTGAGTTTAAAGAGATCTCAGTGATGCTTAAAAAAGAATAAATTTAACATGAAGACAGTGATTTTAAGTCTGGTTAGTCTGACTGTAAGTCTGATTAATTAGAGTGATTAAATTAACTAGGTGTATACCGTAAAATACGTTGATTTTTGTCTAAATTTTGATTTTTAATTTCTGTAAGATTTTCTTATTTTTTATTAACCCTCAATACTGAAATAATCCCGGGATCGAATAAGTATAATCCCGAAATCCCGGGATTAGAAATAAGGACCGGGATCGAATTCCCTAATTACAATTAACTCAAAGTCATTTTTTAAAAGTAGTGTGAATAGCTTAAAAATTTGCTTTATTTGAACTCACTAATTTACATTAAATAACAGACTTCCAGTAAAGCAGATTTTTTAAGTTATTGATTTAATAAATGAAATAATTCATACATTAACTTGAAGTAAAAGTAGTGTGCTTAATAAGAATTATATGGCCTCAGAATAATAGAAAAAGCAGTAATTTTTTGCTAAATTATTAAAAGATGAAAAAACATATGTATGCATACATTAAAATATAGACAAAATAAGTAATATTAATTAATGCAGATAGATTTGATTTTTTAAAATCCAAGCAATAATAAATCATAAGTGCATTTATAAGAAAAGATTTTAAGATAAAATACTCTCTTATGGAGTTTGTGCTGTCTATTTTTTAATTTAAAGTAAATAATAATTAAAAATAATAAATGATACATTCTTCAGCATACTTTTGACTTAATGATCAATAAAGTATCATTCTTCATTTATACAGTTTAGTGCTTTGTAACTGAAAAACATTTGTTACAGGAATTTTTAATGCATTTGATGAAAATCAAGATGGGCATATAGATTTTAAAGAAATGGCCTGTGGTATATCAGCATGTTGCAGAGGTCCATTAACTGAAAGACAAAAATGTAAGTGGTTAAGTTATAAAATTGAATATTACCTTTAATTTTAAAGGAAATAGTAAGAATTTTATATTGTATTTTTTAAAATATATTATTTTTATTACAAGCATATATAATCAAAGTTGTGTAAGTAGAAAGTAACATATATTACAGATTGGTAATTCAGCTTAATAATCTAGAAAATGGGGATATTTTATATTTTTGGAAAATAGAGAATATTAGAGGATTTTATTTAGGAAAGCTATAGAATTTTCTAACAATTAAAAATTTTTTGATTCTTAAATAATCTTTTACAGTGAAACCTCTATATTTGTCATTAATCTGTTTCTGAGGATCTAACAAATATGGAATATGACAAATATAGAAAAAATTTTTCTCATAATAAATAACTAATATTCAATTAATCTGTTCCCATGCTGAAAAAAAGGTACAAAAATAAAAATTATATTGTTTGTAAAACTTTATCTTTATTGTACTAAATAAATACAGTATAGTGGTAGAAGGGGAAAAACAGTAATATTAATGTAGTATTGTTTAGAATAAGAAGACATATCAATTAAAATCTTTAATCTCAAAAGACACTGTGGCCATTTGGCCTTTTGCAAGTGCCGCAAAAATATAAAATAAACAGAGAAACAAAAAAATCAGAAATTAAAAAAAAAAAATAGTGAAGAAAGAAATTTCCTGCTTAAAACAGAAAAGGCATAAGTTATCTGTTATAGCCAAAAACCCTTAAGAAAATTTACTTCTCCCTCTTCCTTCATTCTTCCTTTAAAACATTAGGCAACTCCAATTATGATCATGAGGTCTGTTCTGTCGATGATTCAGTAGCAGTTGATTTAATAAAGAACTTGTTCAGTGTTGTGTGTTTTTGTCTGCTTTTTAAAACTTTTCTGAAGTAGGCAATTACATTTTCATTGAATGTATTTGTATTTTGGTTGACTATAGCAACATTTGGATGACACTTTGGAGTGATTGGAACTTGGTTTCTCACATTGATTATTTTTCAATAACTCAACAACACACACGACAACCACATAAAGCAGACTGATTAACTACAGCTAGCTAACATGGCTAGCTGATCGGTGCAGACGTGCGATTGCAGTGCCACTTCCAGTGTTGCGAATGACAACAAATACAGAAAATACTGATGAATATGGAAAAATAAAAAAGGCATCAAAATATTACGAATATAGAGGTTCCACTTTATATTTATTTAATATTTGGTCCAAGGTTAATTAATAATATGATAATTGAAATTACATCTGATATGTAATTAATGCAATAACACTTTACAAAATGCATTTTGTAAACCATTGTACCATATACTTTGGCAGATCAATTGCCAAAGTATATTTTTTTAAGAAGAAAATTCATTTTATTATAACATATATTTTATGTTAAAATGTGTAACACACATTAATTTTATAAATTCAGCATTTAAAAAAAACTGTGATTACTTTTTGCTTTTAGAAGGAACATTTAGTGATAAAGGTAACAAACTTGGTTTGGATAAATGCAATTTTTATTTTATTATACAGTATTTACATATTTTATTTGTTGTTTTCATGTTTTAATTTATTATTTAGAGCATTTAATTGTGTTATTTTTATATTAAATTATGCGTATTTGTTGTTCAAGTTTATTGAAATGGATATTGTTTAGGGTCTGGGAATGGATTAATTCACTTTCCATTATTTATAATGGGGAAAATTGAGTTGAACTTTGACTGATTCAGAGTTCAAATGGTCTTCTAAAATGAATTAAATGAATAGGCACCACTGTATGTATATATATATATATATATATATATATATATTTAATAATTATACTTCATTAANACTTATCACACCTTGTAGTTGTGATAAAATATATATATATATATTTAATAATCATGAAAACATATAGGCAAAAAATTGAAATATTGTTGCAAGAATATTTTTTATTTATTATATATATTATTAGTTGTTAAAATTGTTTGTCTGAATCCTTCTGACCCTATTGGGATGAAATCAGAGAGAAGTGAAGGGTTTCTATTTTATGGTAGTCCATATTTCCTGTAGGGTATCAGAGAGTAATTATGAGGAATTTGGCCTAGATTGGTCAAAGGGTTCAGGAGTTTCTAGCAGAGATGAAATCAGCAGGAAAGGAGTGAGGGATTCAAATTTTAAGATAGCTTATGTACATCAGAAAGTAATAAGCATTCCAATGGTGAAAGAATTAAAAACATTGATTCAATTTATTCTGGGATGACTTTGAAATAAGAAAAAACAAAGAAACAAGCATTCTCTCTTTATATACATTTATTTACATCCAATACATGCCTTTTTTAATTTTATTTCAGGACCTCTGCAAAGACAACATTTAATGTTTTGTTCCATGTGGTAACAAAATATACCGATTACTCACACTTCCAGACCTAGAAAGACCAACATAATAATTAGGAATTAAATTCTCATAACATAAGACTAATTCTTCTTTTTTAAATAATGATACAATAGGATTAATACTAAAACAATGAACACAAAAAAATATTGTAGTTCTAAATATGAAAGTTTAGTTTTAACTAAGAGAAGTGAATTCACTCCTTATAGCTGTATCTAATAACATAAGAGTAATACAGTAGAGCATCGATTATCCGACCTCCGATTAACCGTCACATCGGTTAACCGACCGTGCTAGTCAGCAAACTTCAAATGTTTGCTAGTGATGTGATGCTACAATATTTGGCTATGTCTTGGCTACTTTAATATTATTTTTGTTAAATTTTTGCATGTTTTAGCTGGCAACACTGGCTCGATCACGAAAGGGAGGCCAGTATTTAAACGAGACTTAATTTTCTAATTATGAGTGGTTGTTTTGTGAGCAATAAAATAACTCAAAAAATGATTTTTAACGATACAATAGAGACGATTATTATTTAAAAAAGAAATTTGTTAGGCTTAACATTGATGAAAATTCAATGTGAAGTAGGTTAATAGCAATATACTAATATACTAATTACATGGGATATAATAATATACTATACAAATAATGTATTTTTTTCATTCTTTTCGGTTATCTGATTTTTTCAATTATCCAACCAACCCGAGTCCCCAATTGAGTCGGATAATCGATGCTTTACTGTATTATAAGAAATGATTGCCAAGACAATATGAACAAAGAATATACACAACTTCCTGAACTGCCTAAATCAAAATCAAAACTGAATAAAGATAATTAGTTTAAAAAAACCCACCAAGTGGTGAAGATCACTGACTTGAACAGGGCAGACAAATGACAATACAATGATGTAAGACAATGTTGACAAATGCTATGGTAAAAATGTCTTTTGTGCATTTTCCTTTTTTAATATGAAAATAGTATATAATCTATGTTCATTTGGAAGGAATAAGCTTTCCAGCAGTGAAAAAATTTTAAAAATTTGTTCAGTGATTCAGGGATTACCTCCAGCAAACAAACAGATATTCTCATTTTATATATTAAGTATAGATTTCTGAACACTGTTGAAAATTGAATCTGCATAAAACTGATTAAAAATAAAAAAAAGCTAATAAATTAAAAGTTACAGAATATTGTAAAAAAAAACTTTTAATTTTTTGGATTGATTAGAAAAATAATTTTATTTACAAGTGTGTGCAGGTGAATATGAAATTTTTTTAATGAAAAATATATTGCATGAATTTGGTAAAGTAAGGAAAATTTTTAAGTTCTCAGAGAATTTTATAATTGAAACTAAGATATCATCTTGTGTTAGTTCACTTAATCAGAGTAATCAGAGTAGTATAGTATATTAGTGATAGTGTTATTTGTTAATTTGTAATTTGTTAAAAAAAATTAATTTTATATAATTTCTTATTAATATTGTATTCTAGAAATATATATTATTAATATTGTCATTAGCATTCTTCAATAGTATGGTAAGTCTAGCAAAAACATAATTATTTGTCACTTAAATTATTTATTTTTGTTTTCATATATATTTATTACTGTGTAGTTATTATTAATGTTTGGTTTATGCAATCTTTATTGAGCATGTTGATGCTATTCATCAAAGTTATGATTACTCTTCCTTTTTTTCAATTTAATGATTTATATTATTGAAAAAAATTTCAAACATTTACAATTAGATGTTAAGGGAGATATTTAGTAATGATATTTGCAGGATTTATATAATAATATTTGAAGGCAATTTTATCCAAGTAATGCTTATGCTATAATAAGTGTAAAATAAAATGGCCCACCAGTGGCCAAGTGGTCTTCATACCCTGAACACTGGGAGTTTGGTCATGGGTTTGCGCCTCGCTTGGACGGGCTGGCCACATGGAGTTTTCCGGTTTTTCTCTGCATCTGTAACGCCTAAACAGGAGCCATTTTCCCTTAAAAAGACCTCCCAGAAGGCATTCCCTAGGCAGATTGCCCAAGTGTTGCATTGCCATAACTTAACAAACAGTAAAGTAAAATGTAGTAAGTAAGTAATTATGAATTAACTGCTTATGTTTGATGACAAAAATGATCAGCTAACCTATTTTTTGTTTGAATTAAATTTTTGATAAATGATGATTATTGTTTGTCTACGATGGGAATTTAAAGTAAGGAGAGGTTTCATATATAATTTAATATTTTATATATAAAATTAATTTTATGATTAAAAAAAGTGCACAATTAGATTAATTTATACTAAATTCATTTATTTGTTAAGAAAGTTTTAAAATTCAATGATGATGATGATAAATTATATGTAACTAGCAAGTAAGCCAAGCATTGCCTGGGAAAAAAATAAGGCATATTCAAATAGCAAATAGATTATTTCGTACTTCTAACTCTTATATTATATTATAGTATTTGATTTATATAACTACAAATGTTATCTTATGTAAGGGTTTATCACACCAAGTGACCAATCTAACACATTTTAAAAATTCTTTAAATTGTGTATAGTAGAGAAATAAAGAATTTTAAAAATGTGTTAGATTGGTCACTTGTGATAAATCCTAACATAAGAT